AAATTATTTTGCATAATTTTTAAAGCTAAAGCATGACAAATTTTAAAGAAAATAAAATTAAAATAGAAATGAACTGTTAACATAAACATTTCCTTCTAAATCACCCTTAATCCTTACACTGGAAACAAACTACTTTCAGCATTAATATACTTTAGTTTTTCACCAAAATCTCTCTAGACAGCATTCATCAGCTGCCAACATGTCTCCATCACAGATCCAAGTAGTCTGTTCACTCTGATTAGGTTGTTGGAGCTAATTTAAAGTATAGCCTTTGTTATGTCTAAAGCAGCCTAATCAGCTCTATGAAGATTCTCTGACACCCTGGCATCCAATTCGTTTCCATGTCATTGAAGCAGAAAGACAAAGATTATGGCCATCAAAGTATATCTTCAGGCAGAGTGCTCTCCAAACCAGTGCTTAGTTAAAATTGTCATGTTTTAAAATCACTGCTAGGATATTCAGATGTTTGATAGAAATTCAGGGAAGCTCAGAAATATCTCAGTTCTTTTATCTTGACTAGGTCCCATTTCCCTAACTAGTGTGTAAGCTCCTTGAAGGACTAGATCATATTCTTCTCAGTATTCCTCACAGATAGAATGCCTAAAATGTACGTAATAAGGTAATTTTTGAGAAAGGTCTCTGTTACTTTGAGTTCTTTTTTCTGATGCAGTCTCGCCAGAGCCATTATTTGGGACTAACGTACTGGGTTAATTTCTTTACATGAATCATCTTATTTATTACCCACAGGCTTAGGAGTGAGGCCTTATTATTATCACCATTGAGACAACCAAGTCACAAGAAGGTTAAATAATTGTCTACATATACATAGTTGGTGGGAAACATAGTATTTAAACATAGACTCTGCCTCCAGAGCCCATAATTTTATCTTCCTACTTCTCAATGGAGGCAGAACCTCCCAGAAAATTCTGAGTATTGGGGTGTGCTCCTCAACACAGCACAAGTAAGTGAAGGGCCTGAGCTTGGTTCCTGGCACCATGTGTTGAAAAGGTTTTTCCATCGGAGAATAAAGAGGATTATAAACCTAGCCCTTCTGCTGATGTATTTGTTAATTGAACACAAGTCTAAATAGTAGCCTTTCCTGATTTCCCTGTTCCTGACTTCAGGTGTTTTTTCTCTCATTTAAACATTGCTCTAATCCTTGGAAGTGGCATGGTATTGATGGAGGGCAGTGACAGGAGATGAACATCATAACTAATTTCCCTAAAAATGCTGACATATAAATAGCATAGTAAAAACAGGAGGGATGCCACCTTAAGCCAAGATTCCATTCTCAAAGCAGACAGTTGAGGAGTGAGATGCCTAACATATTCTTCAGTAATCGAACAATAATCCATCATATCCTAAGGCAGGGCAAGCAGTCCAAACTGCTATGTTCCCAGTGTTTGAGGGAAGCCGCCGTTGTGGAGAGGAACATTATCAATAAATTCCTTCTGATAAGTTTATCTTGCAGAACTATCTGGAAGACTGACTGTGGATAAGGGCAGAGAGTCCTTCACTGGAGATAAACATCATGAGACCACATGACAAGGTGACAGCCCCTTAGTCCTTTGCCCCATTCCTGGAACACTTTAAAGGAATCCTAAGCCCTCGAACGTGCCTCCTCTCTGAGGTTGCCCACACATGTGTTGAGTGTGCACCCCTAAATAAAGCATTCTCAGTGCTCAACTTACTGCGTCTTGTCTCTGTGCTCTTCCAGTGGTAAGCGTCTTTGTTGCATCTTTGCTATTTCATTTTATTTTCAAGTCTTCACTCTCTCTGTTCTACTTCACCTTCCTTTCCCTCTGCTACGTGCAAGGCAGCTGCCATTCCCTGCTGCTCTCACTTTAATAAATTCTTCCCTTACCTACACTCTCCAACCTGCTCGAGAATTCCTTCTCGTTCAGAGTCAAGAACCCTCCCCCATCCAGGCTGAGGTTTCACCTGGTGGGCAAGGAGAGCCCTCCCCAGACGCAGCTGCCCGGCAACAGTAAGATGCAAAGAACTTGAACCTGGGAATTAAACCAGCCTTGTTCCATTTCTGACTATACCGTTTACTAGCTGTATCCTTGGGCATAGAATTTAAAATACGTGAATTTAGTTTTCAGTAAAATGAAGACAATAATCCCCAACATAGACGGTTGTTGTGATGGTTAAATGACATGACATGTATAAAACTCAGGGGCCATGGATAATGCTCAATCCCTTTGCCCTGCTCTGACTGCTGGATTTTCCTGATGAAGGGATATAAGTGCAATCAGTCACTAGGTCCTAAAAGTTGCTCCCTACAGCAAGGAGCAAGGAAGAGTTGCTCAAGCTGGAAATTGAAGATTTTCTATCTCCCATATATAGAATTGCTTTAATGAAGTAGTTAAGAAAGGACCTCAATTACATTTGAATACTTGTCTTGATACTTTAAATACTTGCTTTAGTGCTTTCGTATTTTAAAATCAACACCTTTGCTTTTTAGTACTTGTATTTGGGGCATAGTCTTAAGTGGAGAATTTGATCCTGTTGTAGGGACCTCAGGGCCCACTGCATCAGATTCTGTAGGTTTGTTTTTAATAGTCCCCAAACCTAGGTCTTTATTAATTTATGAAGAGTTGGAGGTACTGATTTGCTTACATCCCTGTTAAGCATTCTCAGTTTTGGGTACTGGTCGGACTTTAATCTTCAGAAGCAATGTGACCTTGTAGAAAAAGCACTAAACCAGGAATTGTGGCACCTGGATTCTCAACTCGGTTCAGCAACTCTTTATCAAAAAGACCCTGGATAAATAACTCTCCGAGTTCCTCCAACAAGGAACCATTTCTCATTCATTCTTATACTCAGAGCCCAGCAGAGTAGCTCCACCAAAGTAAAAACTACAAAAATACTTTTGTTAAATCCAGAAATACTTTAGTCAATAGGACAATCAATCGATACAGGCATTACAGGCTGAAGAACTTGGTGCATTGTCAGCTGGCTACCTTGTGGTTATGCTTTTGATCTGCACATATTGTAGCAGATGAGATGAGAAATGCTAATTCTGAAAACTTCTAACTTCAGTTTTTCTGATTTTCAAGTTTTCAACTACTTCGCTCTAGTCTTTGGTAATTTTCTCTCAGAGGTTTCTCGTCACCCAAATCTCTCCAGACTATAATAATTCTTCCTACAGCTGCACCCACACCCTCATCCATTTCGTTTATTTTTCTATGAGAGAGATTTCTCTAGGTTTCCAATTCTGAACAACAGCACTTTCATCTAGTTCCGTAGTTAGTTATACATTTTTGTATTACTTTTCTAGGCTGAGCTTGACCCTTATTCATTTCCAACTTTTGCGGACTATCTTCATTTACATCATTAGAACCACAAGCTTATAACAGAACATTTATAAACAATAGTTTTAAGCAGTATATGTAACAGTTTTTAAAACAGAGGTGTAAATTGGCTTTATAATCAATGAAATCTGCAACTGCAGAGTTCTTGCTTTTCCAGATGGTTTCATTTTATATCTTGTTCTCAGATTGAAAATTTACATGAAAATTAACAGGCTCAACTGACCCTATGTTAAAGGCATCTATTCAGTTACTATATGCAAGCACACATGGACTATTTATCATGTATTATTATTCTTGTTAAAATGAATTTAAAAATTATTTCTGGAATACAACTACAAAGATTTATAAAAGAAACTGTAAAGAATTTTATCTGTAAATTTTCCATTATGAATGCTTGATGGTAATAAGCAAGCCATTCCCACCCCTGAGAATTTCAGCTTCCCTAGGTATAGTTCACACATGGCCAAGGAAATCTGCTGAGTAAGTAAGAGGATGTCCTCAGTCTGGATAATTCACAATATGCCCTCCCTCATTATGGAAATTAATAAGCTGGCATTGTGAAATAACAATATAAGCTACAAATGTTAGTAAGCTAATTGCTTGCATTTATATTCCATCTGGAAAAATGGAAAGAAATATGTGAAGGGTAGAATATCTGTAATCTTATTGTATATGAAGGGTAGCAAAGATGCCACCCCAAAATGTGGCACATTCATTATTTGGAGCTTTTGGAAAATTGCAAATGCAGGAACAGACTTTCTCTGGCTCCCCTTATGTGCCTAAAGATAGGTCCAGAAAAGAACTGAATTGTCCTAAGTCCCCTCCCACAGAGTTTCATCAACTGGGGAAAACTTATTCATCACAGGAGAGACTAGAAGTGGACACCACACTTGGACAAACTTTTACACAAACAAACACACCTTCCATCTATTATTCTAAGGGCCCATTCATCATTCCTAATAATCATTTATGCTCTCCAAAGAGGCCTACATCCTACTTCCCCATAGTAAGATGGTATTTAAGCCTGAATTCTAAGCCATCTCAGAGTTACACATTTTCCCCCAGGTATCTCCCATATATATATATATGGAGTATACGTGTTGATAGACTCCTGTTTTTCTATTGTTAATTGGTCTTTTATTATAGGGGTTCCATGTGGGAACTCAGAAGTGCAGAAGGAATTATTTTTCCTCTCCTACATGAAATTCCAGAAAATGTATATATACCAACTATAACATGAAACTTTGCCTTTTAATGTTCAATTACTTATATAAATGTCTTAACCTACCATAAAGGCTAAATCATATAGTAATTACCAGAAAATTTTTTTAAATAAGTATCTTGAGACTTACAGAAATCAGTTCATATTGAGTAAGACATGAATCTTTCACTTCTGGTCAATAGTTTGACCCTGATAAATAGTTTAACAATTGATTCTGAGTCTCTGACCTGTGGAGCCTGCATTTTTAGTATAAAAAATCATAAATCCATGTACAAAAAAGTGAAAGATAGTAGTAGAATAATTGGCATCCCAAAGTGATAGAGAGGGTACAAAAGCTTAGGAGACTAATGGCCTTTTTGTGCACTAATATTGTTTCTCCTGATGGAGTTACAGCCCATGTTCTCCTTGTAAATTATTGCCAAGATAATCAGGATGTTATTTTTGATTTATTTATTATTTGGATAAGAAAAGTACAACACCCAGTAATTTTCAGAGAGTTTGAAATCTAAATAGAGAAGAGAGAAGAAATATAACAGCAAACAATACAAAATAGAGTAATAAATAGAACATTTGAATCATAGTTTGCGACTACAAAGAATTCTCAGTATTTCATTTAATAAAGACATATCCTTAAATTTTAGGTTGCATGCTTTAGGCTTTATTGATGGAGGAGTTTGGAGAAGGGAAGTACAGTTTGAGTGGCACTAGTTTAGAAACTCTTCATTCAGGGCTGATTTTTAAGTGGGCCTTGAAAAATGGCAAGGGGATGATGTTGACCTAGAATGTTTGCAGCCTCTGAAATGGCTTAACACTGGCAGAAACATCTTTCAAAACATTTATTTAGGCACCAAAGTTACAGTGTCTGCAATTGGAAGGACTTTTGTTTCCCCTCCATTGGTCCACTGGTTGTGCAGAACATCTTCTGTGAAATGAGAGATAAAATATACACATGTCATCTGAGTATTAAATTTGAGTCTGGAAGGAATACCAGAATCACTCTTGGTGACTTTAAAAAAAAATTAAGAGAATTTCTCAGGCCTACTGAAACAAAATGTACAAAGGGGTGAAGAATTTACATTTTTTACAAGCCCGATGTAAATCTGGTGGATCAGATTGTAGAATTACTAGATTTTAAGTTAAAGTATATTATTACACTATTTGTTAAGAAGGTTTTGTTAAAACTGACAGCAAACAATGCCATGTTGGACAACAATTCTAACAGGGCTTGTTGGACATGGTAGCAGAAGTGTCAGAAACTCACCCTCAGTCTCTCCTCTTCACAAAGCTCCTTGCAGTCCTTTACAAGGCTCCTTGAACCCTTCCTAGTCCTTCTGGAGTGCCCCAGTACCAAGTCAAATCCCAGCATTTACTTGATAGAGAAGATGGAGAGTAAAGTATTTCAAACTGTGTTAAAGAGGACCATTGGGAAAGTGATACAGGTTCTGGGAAGAAAGACACAAATCATCTGAGTAATAAGAGTAATAAATAAGACCAGAATTACAAAATGGAAAGATTTGAAAAGAATAATCCTCCTTTAACTACTTTTGCTCTAAACAAATTACTACTATACAATTAGCTTGAATTTAAAACTCATTCAAAAGTCGCCTTATCTGATATCTTGATTGGGTGGTAGTTGCATGAGTGTATACATATGTCAAAATTCATCAAGCTGTACACTAAGATATGTGAACTTTATTGCATGTTCCTCAATAGAAAAAATAAAAATAAATAAAATAACCAGTACAACCATTAAAATAAGGTACAATAAATTAATGCTTAAAGCTGTTTTTTTTTTAATTTACATTGAAACATGTGGCTCTCTTCCCACTTCTCTACCATCTCCCTAACACCAAAGCTACCAACTGTAAGCCTCACAAATTTGATTCTTGGAAGGCAGTACAGCACAGAGAAGACAAGTAGTGACTCTATAGCATCATACTACACTGATGGACAGTGACTGTAATGCGGTACTAGGGGGATAATGGGGGGAATCTAGTAATCACAATGTTGCTCATGTAATTATATATTAATGATACAAAAAAACACAAAAGATGCAGGCCCAAGGAATAATTAAAGTCTGCAAAAGCAAAAAAAAATTCGAATCTTGGTATTCTTTAATATTTCAAATGTTGGTATAACAGAATTTCAGGTATCCTGGAAGCTGGAATGAAGAGTATTTGGCCAAAAAGAGGCTTGAAAGGCACAACAAAAATTGTACCAAGTAGGCAATACATTATATTGCTTAAATAAGACCCTACAGGCATGACTCTTACCAGGCAAATACCATAACACTTAACTACTGATCCTACACTTTACAGAAAACAAAAATGTTGCAAAGAGTGAGCCCTAATACTTGTTACAAGTAGGAAATACTATACACATTGATTCAGTCATTCATGTGACAATTGCTGAGAGTCTTCCTTGTGCCAGGAATTATATGCTGGAGATTGTGCCAAGATTAAGTAACACTATTAATTGCATAGTCTGTAAGTGGAAATAAATGTAAACAAATATTGGCAACATCCTATGACAAGTGCTAGAATAATAAGATATAGCGGTTTACCCAAAAGGAGAGGGTAATCAACACTTCCTTGGGGATGTGTGGAAAGAATTAAGAGTAGATAAGATATTCAAAATATATCTAGAAGAGTAAGTAAAGTGTGTTTACATGACCTGGGGAGGAAATAAAAGAGGATTCTAGCCTAATGGATGTTTCACCACCATCCTTCTGATCTAGATATTAATGCTGGAAGATTTCTCTTTCATCAAATGCTGCAAAACCACTTAACTTGCTGTTCCCAGGGTTCATAAAATTACCAAGCCATTAGAAATTGGGTGATCTGTTCATAATGGGGTTGCTTTGTATGAGAGTCAGCAAAATCTTGGAAAATGGACAAATGTCTTTTCTGCTGAAGAATCCATAAACAACATGCAGGCATCTATGGATGCAAAACTTCCCCTCAACAGCTACATGAGCAATAGCTAACAAGGAGCCTCAGCACAAGAGATGTGGTCACCAAAACGGCAACAGAGCCTCAGCAGACATCAGCTTAGCTCCTTCGCGACAAACTGGGTTTGAAAAACGAGTGATAGTGGTTCACTTGATGTTAATTTGCTGGCCTCATCTACTGTCCTTTCCTTCTAAGTGGACCTCTTTGAGTAACCACATGATTCATCCTCAAATTAATGACTGCTACTACCACCACCAAGGATGGATAGACCGAGGAGTTTGATACTCTTATTTCCAGCTTACTGTTATGGTACATAGTCTATGTTCTACTTCCGTCAAAGTACTTTACTTGAATCTTAAGAGTCTTTGGTTCTCTCCGTAGACTGCTGACTCTTGAAATAAAAAATCCTGTTTTCAAAATTACTGCTTTTGTTGATGGATCTAAAAGCCTATTCTAGAATTCAAAAATGAAATGTTGGCTGTTTCTTTCTCCAAATGCTTGCAGTCTACAATTCTAATTCTCTTCAGAGCAGTGAAAGCCTCTGACCAGTTTCCAACTGGGCAGAGATTAGAATGAAATTAACACTTCTAAATAGTATCTCACTACATTCGTCCAGGTACAAAGGGAACCAGGGAGATCTGGGTGGAGCACTTAGACTATCCGCTGTATTTGCTGTACTTAAAACAACCTCTTAGGTAGGTGTTATCCCCCTCATATCATAAATATACTTTTTAAGATTTAGGTTTACCCATGGTCACAGTTAGTGAGTTGAATTAAACCCAAGTCCTCTAACTTCAAGTCTAGTGCATTTCAAGTTTGCTCTACACATGAAACTAACCAGGAATAATGTGGCTCCATTTTCCACATTGCCTGTGTATGACTCCTTAACACAAAAATTCAGATTTATCACAGGCCAAATAATAATAATGGCTAACATTTATTAATAGGTTACTATTTATCAGTTACTATGCTATGCACTTTACAAGAGTTAATTCTTGTTATCCTTTAAACAACCTTATGAAGTTGTTGTTATTATTAATTCCATTTGAAACCTGAGTCAAGTGGGGCTTATAGAGCTTAACTCTCCCCAAACCAAAAGGTAGTAAGTGTTGGAGTCTGAACATGAACTTAGGCCTGATTCCAAAGTCCATGCTTTTAATGATTTTCCTATACTACCTTTATAGGTAAAGAGAGTAAAATTCTAACATACATCATCAAGAAATAAACATCGCTAAAGAAGGCATTTTTCTTTTCTAGTTCTGTTCTCTGCCAAAAGTATTGGAAAACAACTTTGTTATAACACCATTCAAAGTAGGAATTACATTATCTGAAGCACCACTATTTGTACATACTTTTATGATGTCACATTAGCTCTTATTAATCCTAATTTCCCAAGATAAGTCATCCTAAAGCATCATGAATTATCAATGAAAACTAACTTTATGGAAAAATGTGGGCTTTTGACAGATAGCCTTTTCCTGTCGCAACAGTCTGTCACATTTAATACAAAAAATATCCAAGTTAATGTCCACTATATATTTTAAACCTTCCTTTGGATGTCTCACTAAACAGGATTTCATCATTATACTATATGAGATATATTCAGTATTTGATGTTAAATATTTGATTTATTCAGTGAATATTTTTGCATACCTACAATGATGCAGGCTGCAGTGTTGCATTAAATATTAAGGACTAGACATCTGGTGAGCCAAACAGATACATTCCTGCCCTCATGAAACTTGAGCCTCGAATGAAGATAGCCAATAAACAAAAATAAACAAATTTAAAGTTACAACTTTGATAATGCCCCAAAGAGAAAGTATGCGATGCCTTGAGGGTCTCTAACAGAAGGATTTAATAGGGGAGAAGGGTCTGAGAAAGCTTTCCTAAGGAAGTCACAGTTGAACAGAGTCCAGGCTAAGTAAGTGGGGGTGGGGCAGAAGGAAGAGCATGGCAGTTCGAGGGAAAAGCACAGGGAATCTATGCTGGGAAGAGAATGGAGTACAAGGCATACAGGAAACTGGAAACTGGACAACTTGACTGGTACGAAAGAAGAGAGAGAGAGAAAGGATGGTTCTGGGGTGGCTTGAGAGAAAACAGAACCAAGCCAAATAGGGCTGGTCTTCATCCTGTGGATAAGGAGATGATAAAGGGTTTAGGGAGTTGGGGACACTCGTAAAATGGTTAGAGGATGATTGAATACCAAACATGCTTTAGAAGCAGTAGATAAGGTATTTTTCTAGAAAATGGTAGAGACTTAATAACCCAGGTGCCATTTCCTTCTTACCAGGGAAGGAAAAGCCTAAGGGTCTTCCTTTCCTCTCCCTTCCCCAGAGAGGATTTCTTTATATTTCAGAATGACAATTCCTCTCTCTTTCTCTCTCTCTCCCTCTCTCTAATGGGGAGAAGGGGTAGATGTGTCAGCCACCCTATATAAGCTCCAGTTTTCTCATTTTCAGAGATCTTCTGGGTACCCTACAGCATGCACAGGTGTACACTGAGCCCGCATCACCTTAGCCTATTGGGAATTTGGTCACTGGTAACACAAGCTAAGACATTCTGTAAGTAATAAATGGTCTGTTTTCTGATCCAGAGATTTTGTCAGAATATACATAGGAGTATATATACATATATACATCACCTAAACTCCAGGCCTAATATAAATCCTACAAATACATTTCTAATAAAAAGCAGTTCACAAAGAAATATGTGAACTAGGCATCATAAACATGAACTATGAAAGAAAAATCATATCCACAAAGACTTCAGATATTAAAATTACAGTCACAGAACATAAAATACTAATGCCTTGGCGATTTTAAAAATTAGAGATAAACTCAAAAGTATATGTTCAGAGAATAGAAAGCTTTAAAGAATGACCAAGTAAATTTGCATACAAAAAAAACCCCTGAACTTCCAAAAATAAGAAATACAGTAACCAAAATTTAAAAGTGAATCTGAGGTTTTTAGAATGGATAAGACTCAATTAAAGAGGGAATTCATGACTTAGAGAGAGGTCAAAAGAAATTATCCAGAATGCAGGACAAACTTATAAAAAAACTAGAAAATATGAAGAATAGATGAGAAAAACAGGAAAGTGAGATATCTAGCATATTAAATTAGAGCTCCAGAAGTAGTGAGAAGAGAGAATTACATATATAAGTATATATGGATAAAATTTTATATCTGTAATTTAATATATTTATAACGAATTTGATTATTTGATAATAGATCTTCTAAGAATTTTCCATAACTGATGAAAGATACTGAAACACAAATACAAGAATCTCAACAAATCCAAAGCAGAATAAAAAATTCATAGTAAAACTGCCAATTGTCAAAATAGAGGAGACTTTGGAAGGAAATAGAAACTTGAAGAGACAGGTCGGAGTATTTTTATGCTAGGCTTGATGAAAAGCAGGCAGTCACGTAGGAATGTGATAGGTTAAGGAGTAAATGTGGTGAAGTGAAGGAAGTTAGCAAGGACTATTTGGATTCAGGAGAGAAGGGCTAGGAGAGGCCAGAGTAACCTTCCCGTTGCTGCTGTTCTCAAACTCCTTCACCTTAAAATACTCATGCCATTGTCTTGCCAATGGGTTTCAGCTCCAGGCAAGTTCACTATGGATTCAGTGAGATGGAGGAATGACAATGGAACATTCTTGGGGTGAAGGGTTTGTTCCCCGGCTTGTTCCCCGGTGATAGGTCGAGCACTAGAATTACGTCTGTAATCCCAGTCTGCAGGTCTGTAATCCACCTCGGTCTCTGCCTTTGCCCAGAGCACTGGGCAGAGCTCTTTATATAGTGACTCAGTCAACAATAGCTCATGGCCTACAGGTGTGGAAGCAGTAGCCTAGCAGCAGGCCGGTAACATCATAAAGTAGTTTAGGTTCAGGTGAGGATCTTGGCCACAGGAACTTCCATTTTCCCCAAGGAAAATACGTAGAAAAAAGTTATAGAGATGTGCCTGACAATTTAAAATGCTGTTATTTTTATGTATAATTTAATATGTTAGCTTTTAAAAAGGGTATTTTTTCACTATTTTCTTATCTTGATAAATGTTTATTTTCATATCTGATTTTATATTTTTATGTTTTCCTTTTTTTCCTGAGATAACCACAAACTGCAAAAGCTGCGGGCTCCGTGAAAAAACCTGGATCTGTCCTTGCCTCTGTTAAATTTCCCAAGGGAGACCACAGATGTCAGCCCTCGTAGAGTCACAGTCCTGGGAGGACACAGTTGGGAGCCTCTCCTTTGGGGCCCTTGCCACACAAATGTGAACATACAGAAATGAGTCTTCACCCTGACAATTTCAATCCCTGACTGATAAAGCTGCAGATATTGTCCTTCAACTTCCTTCTCACAGGAACATTTTTCTCTTCCTTTTTCACTTGTGACTTGAAACCCACTTTCATAATCACTTACACTTTGCAACACCTGACCCAGTGCTTCTGGCTCCTACACTAATTTTCCTTCTTCAAAAGGAAAATTACTCATGACTTACTCCCAGCCATTCCTCAAAACCTTCACCCCAAAAACCACACCCTACTCACCAAACATGTCTTTATACTCCAAACCCCAAAGAAACAGCTAATGAAACCCTTATTCCACATCCCCCTGTCTCTTGAATCCTCCTCTCTGCTGGCTACTGCTGTGAGGGACTCATGTCCGATTGCTGTCCCTCCCAGAGCAAGCAAATGCAGAGAAATCCCATTTCTTGACTGGCTCTCCTGAAAAAGAGAAGCAAAATTCCTTCCACCAAACCTTGAAACTGGGCTTTCAAGGGTTAGTAACACAGAAAGCAATGTTCTTTGTAGCTAGACTTGGCCTGACCCATGGAATCATAAAAATGAAAAAAATATTGCTTAATTACATTATTCAATTACTGCCTGGCTTAAGTGGGTTCTTTTGTTTGTTTGTTTGTTTTTGAGCAAACAGGAAACTTAACCACCATTCTCAACATTGCTTTTAAGGCAAATTGTGCTCTTGCTTTACAAATACCCGGCTTAATAAACGATTATTGAGCCACAAACTGTTGACACTTTGAGTAAGTGAACTATCACTTTTCAGTTTGTGAGGCTCAAACTCTTCTGCTATTTCTGTAACTGGAGCTGGTTGCTGGGTAAGCCAACACAGGATCTATCACCTAGGTGTCACTATGGCTAATTATTAAAATGAATCCAAGTACATGGTATTTACCATCCCTATGCCACCGTTATTTCTCTTTTTTGAAAGTGCCAAGTGGACCTTTATGAGATGCATTTAATTTCTGTAAGAAGATTGAGAAGCTGCAAGAATTCTCATCCCCTCATCCACTGCTGCTCCTTGCAGGGATCACCCCTTGTGTTCTGTTTCAAGTAGCCTATATCTGAGAACAGAGCAGGAACCCTGGAGGCGCAGAGCCTCCGTGTCTTCTAACGCTGCCTTGAGCCACTGCACTTCCTTATGGTCCTTTCGTTTTGATGTAAGGATGTAGAACTAAGCTTTAAGATAATGCTGAGACCTATGCCACTCAAGGTGTGGTCTTCAGACCAGTGCTGGTGTACAAAACTATTGCCAGTCAATGACAAAGTAAATACAGAAATTCAGAATGTGCATTAAAAAATATTCATAATCAGCTGGTATTGCTGCATCATGTCACATCTGAGCACACAGTCCCTGGACTTATTTCGTTAAACAAGGAATTCCCAGGCTGGGTGTTATTAAACTCACTTAGTTACATGTGATGTAAGCTGCAAATGGGGCATGCACAGTAAGACGCATACTGGTCTGCATCGGAGGCAGGGAAAGCTTAATGAATGAAGTTGGTAAGAGCTCGTGACCTCTGTAGAGCTGGCTCTGATTTCTGCGCAGTCTGAGTACCTGTCAGTTTTGCCATGCCCTCAGACTTCAGATCAGTGTAGTAGGGCTAAGGTGGGTCGGGTGCCAGCTGGGGTCCTATGCCACTGTAAACTGCCTCCTCGGAGTCTGTGGAGCCCGCGCCTTCCATCCAGCACAGCAGAAATAACCTGCCACGTGTGCAGCACTGATGTCCAAAAGAAAAGCCACACAGGGACATCTAGTGGCAAAGGGAAATCACCAAACTGCTCCAGAGGAGTCCAGGAATTTCCAAACCACAAGCTGCTTGGGGGCTTGAGATTCATTTACAGACCTTTACTTCACACCCTAGCAAGTTAGTCACTGCGTTTGAAGGCCAGCCAAGGTCAGAGTGATCTGTAGCATCTGAAATGGCAGTGGACCCCCTGGCCACTTGGTAGGCCACCAAACAAGGCGCCGTATAGCCAAGCGCAGCAAAGAGGGGAAGCAATAGGCGGGCTCCTCAGGCCCGTGCGCCGAGGAGAGAATGCAGATAGGAGGCCCTCATTTCATGGGCAGCTGCTTCAGTGCTCTCTGTCTGCTTGGCTATAAAATAGACCTGACCCTTGAGAGGTAGAAAAGATGCAAAGCTCCCCAAATAAACTGAATACATTAAAAACAGTCCTCCAGACTTGCTGATCTACAAATTAGCATCAGCAGAACCCTTAATGAGAGTTACTTGTGAGTTTCACAGCAAGATGACAACGCCAGATCAAAGCTACCCACCCAGACTGATAAAACACAGCCCTTGGAAGAGGCAGCTTCTCCTAGGCTTGGATGGTGAGACTGAAGCTAAAATAGATACAGTTGCATTAGATTTTCATTGCCAAAAACTGACTCTTTTCACAGGCAGACAGATGTGCAAATAAATTAAATTAGGTCTAAATTTGCTAGTAAAAATCATAATGGTTTTTATTACGAGGAAAATATTGGAAATCTATAACTACTGATTTTTGCCTCTTCCACACGTAGCAAGGTCAAATTTTACTTACTACAGTTCATGGCCCCTCAGGTAGTGTTTAAAAACTATCTAATTGATGTAATCTTGAAGTCCTTCCTTCAACCCACCTACTCCACCCATCTAACGACAAGAAAACTCTTTGAGTTGCCCATTTATGCTCACTAAAGCTCTTCTGATTATAGTTATCCATTGCAGTCAGACTCATATTACAGTCCAAACTACTCACCTGAACAATTTCTCACGTCAAGGTCTTCCTTCCCCAGATGAACTTGGGGCACAAGAAGAGGTGTATAGGGAGGTGAGCCCCAGTCCCGTGATGTAGTTCTGTCCTGGCTTCTGCTTCTCTGGTGGTTTCTCCTGCTCTCTGTCCTGTCCAGATCCACTCCAACTAGTCCACACTGGTGACGTCCATAGTCTGTTCTCTCAGTGCATTTAGCTCCTGGTATTAACTCCACCTTCTCGTCCAACCCCACCCCTTCTTAGGCCTCTAGCTCTACCATCCACCTACCATCCACCTGCACCCTCAGCCTCTACTGTAGCCCCCCCTCAAGGCCATCTCACTCTAGGGATCTCTGTGACTAGTCTGCCAGCTCTCAGCCATCCCACCAGGAACTTATCAGAACTCCCGGAAATGGTCTGTGAAAGTGAGACAAGAGGGGCTTAGGCACCTAATTCTGGACCTTCCCCTTTCAAGTCACATGACACGGAGATGCCATTCTTCTGTATCTCATATTGCACCGAGAGACCTGTGACATGCTCTCCTCCCAGAATCCACTATGGGAAGCAGGGTGTATTAGCTTCCTAGGGCCACTGAGGCAAATTAGCACAAATTCAGTGGCTTCAGACAAGAGAAATGTATTCTTTTCCAGGAGGCCAGAAATCAAGTTGCCGACAGGTGGGTTCCCTCTGGAGGCTCCGAGGGAGAATCTGCTCTGTGAGTCTCTCTTGCCGTCCACCAGCTCCAGCAACCCGGGGCGCTCCTTGGCCTTGGTCTGCATTACTCCGTCTTCTTGTTACCTTCCTCTCTAACTCTGGAGCTATTTCCCCTTCTCTCCTATGGATTTGCCATTGGCATTAGAGGCCATTCTAATGCAGAATAATGCTGTCTCCAACTCTTAAATTTAATCACATCTGCAAGATGATTTGTACACTGAAGGTCACATTATAGGTTCTGGGGGTTTGGACTTGTACCTATCTTTTTATGGGAAGGGCACTATTAAACCAACTATATGGGGCACACCCTCTCTGGGGCCTCTATCTTCTCACAAAGGTCGGTGGTGTGTAGGACCCCTCTGGGCATCTCCATAGCATTCCAAACCTAGATCTGAACCCCCTCCTTTTTGCACCAGAAGCATTGCTGGCTTCTTGCCCCTCTTCAGAGAGGAATTCACCTGTGTCATACTGGCTCTTGATGCTACTTCCGGGACTCTTGGTTCTAGAAGGTACCTATTTTCCTCTTCTCTAGGATGATAAAGTCTCAGCACAGGCACTACCGGCAAAAAACTGTGTGGTTCAAGAGAGATACTATGTTATTTGTGAAGACATTTTTAAAATACTATCTCCATTGTATATTTACAGACCCATAAGAGCAACTTATATTAAGATATTGGTCCCACATGACATCATAACAAAAACTTTAAAGGAGAAAGCCAGGCTTGGAACATAATATTTTACTATGAATAAGCATGCTAATAATAAGCACCCATTAATACATCTCAGCTTATATAAGTATTTTTAAATACTGTTTCTACAAAGTATTTTTAAAATATTAGTTCAACAGGCAGCATCTAATTCATTTAGGATTTAATAAACTGTAGTTCTAGATCTAGAAGAATTTGCTTACCTTTACCTTCCATGTTTTAACATTTTATTTTAGAGCATTTCAAACAAATAAAAATAGAACGATCTAAAACCATGTTCTCTACTTAGAGCAGTATAATAATTCTCCAATTCTCACTCAGCTTAGATAGCTCACAACTCATGACCAACCTTGCTTTTTTATACACATACTCTCTTGACTCTCTCTAGACCATCCCTGAATTTTGAAGCTTTCTCAGACATCACACCTTCTGTAAATATTTCAGGGATGTTTCTAAAAGAGACTCTTTTCTGCATATTGAATACCATTATCACACATGAAAATGTGAAAACAAGTCCTTAATAGCAAAGAGTTAATCATGTTCACATTTCCCCAGTTACTTACATTTTCCATTTTGGTTTTAGAATTAGAATCCAAATGCCATCCATATGTGAGAGATGATAAATCTCTCAAATTTCTTTTAATCAGTAGATTCTCGCTTTGTGTCTCGTTTTCTGTTTCTTTCACCCTTTCTCTTCAGATTTTGTTACAGAAATGGGTTGTTTGTCCTATAAAGTTTTCCTCCATCTGTATTTTTCTGCTTCATCCTTATGGTGATTTTTGTCCTTTATATTCCCTATGAATTTGTATTCAAAATTAGGGATTTGAGGAGCCCCATGCCGGCTGTTTTGTCCAGGCACCTTCACTGGTGGTGCTGTATGCTATCCTCATGATTGAATAATCCCAGTTGTCTTCTTTTTGCAAGGTTAGCAGCCATGAATAATCATTGCTTAAATCCATTAATTCATAAGTTGTTGAAAAAATAATTTCCTCAATTATTAGGTGCTAGGTTTCTACAAGGATACGTTCCCCCCTTAGCAGCAATTGACTATGCTGAGGTACAGTTTGTACGAGAGAAACAAGATAAATGTTTGGTTCTTTTTTTGTTAATGATTTTCAAAAAGAATAAGATCCCTAACATCTTCAAAGAAGACAATATATACAAAATATGTGTATATATACATATATGTATGTGTGTGTGTTTGTATATATACGTATTTTATGAGCTCATGAATTTAAAGATCTTTGATGTCTTACAATTTATTGCAATTACTATACTTTACAATACACAAATTATCCTTTGACATGGAAGTCTATTCATTTAGGTTCCTGAATTCTTTTGAGATGACCCTAGTAGACTTGAATAGCATCCTTATTTCCTGACAGGACAACATATATATTTCTATTTCCGGCATTTGGCTTCTGGTACTTGTAAGTGGCTATAGATAGAAAATATGGCTATCTTTTTTTGTTTGTTTTGGACAAAACACATCAAAGTTCAAACTAATACTTCCTATTCAAATTCAAGAGTACAGGGTTTTTACTTCACCTAACTGGTTTCATATCTCTCTTTTCTGCCAAGCTCCAAATCTGGGTTTTCAATGGCACAAATACAGTTCCTCACTTGCTTTATCCCACACCACCTACACAAGGGTCTCAAAATAATATTGACACTTCTACTGATTATATGATTACAGAAAGAGGTTTTCTTTTTTAAGTACGTTTGTCTCACTCAATGTACCGTCAAACTGTAATGCCCTAACTTAAAGTCACTTGGGATAGTTCCTCTGTGGGAGGTTATGCCATCAGCAGGATACACTTTAAGGTTTCTTTTTCCTTTTCCTTTCAATGTTTAGGAATTGCTCTTTGTGTTTAATTTTATTACACTATTATGCAAAATATTTGCACTTTCAAAATCACATCCTCAGAACAAGGTAAATAAGAAAAACAAAGAAGAGTCTCTCCCTCTTCCCTTTCCCCTCTGTTCCCTCCTGCCCTTATTGTTAACTATTTTTTTAACGTTTTGCTTTGTCACTTCTCTGATTTGTAAAATCTGAGAAAGTAAATGCACTCATGCACATCCATGCACACATTTTTTATCATGAAGATCATTTCATAGTAACAGAGGTTTTTTTTCATTCTTTTGTATGGCTGCATAATAATCCATGATGTGAATACATCATAGTCTATTCAACCTATTCTGTATGGGGGAATATTTGAATTAACTGCAGTATTTTGCCATTACAAATGGTGCTTCAATGAACAGCATTGTTCCTGAGTACTTTCATTTTTCTTTGAATGGTGTATCTTTTAGATCAATTCCTAAAAATGGGAACCTAATTCTTCTAGTTCATATTTTGAAATATATTTTAAAACTCTAACTCAGAATTCTAAACATAATCGCTATTGCTTTTGTTTTGAGGAAAGGGTTTGGGATGAGTTTTGAATTAGTGGCATTAAAATTTGTTTGTGTGGCTGAGCAATGAGAAATCATGATTTTCCTAGTGGAACAATATACTATTTCTCCATAAAATAGTAATAAATTTAAATCCATCAAAGAAACTAGGAGCGATTTTAAAAGCAATAACCGTGACTATATTATATGTATGCAATATAAAATCACCACCATGAGCATAAATGTCCCAGGAAAAAACAAAGATGTTGAATGAGACCTCATCAGCTGTTTCTGAGTTTTCCATTCAGTTTCATTTGGCCATAGCTTAGGCTGCTCTGTATTAGTGTAAACTACTTGGCATTGGGTATGAAGCGATTAAACATTAATGATTTTTAACCACCATTTCTGAGAAGTGAGTAATTTAATCATGTTACAGTGGGAGTGTCATGATTTCTATATATCTACTCCAAGCAGAAAGAGATTTTTTTTCCAGTCAAAAGGGCTTTAAAACTTCAAAGGCCATCATGGTGACATCAAGAGTATTGACCTCAGGGAGAAAATTCTGCTTGCAGGAAGAGCACATAGAAACTCAAAACACATTGGTCAGAAACTGTAGTGGTCAACTAACACTATCTCAACACCTTAACATTTGAGCATGTGTTTAAAAGATTACCAAATATTTGAGCATATGTCATACTATAGAGAACACAGTAATTTGTAACAAAAATAGATAATTTGGGTTAAATGATAGAGGACTAATGTTTAAACAAAGTTTTTCTCATCACTTTGATTAAATTCTGGCACCAGTTATTTAATGAAAAAGAGCTACAGAAATTTCTGTATTCATTTATGTCCTTTATATTCAATTCTATAGATCAGGAATTGACAAACATTTTCTGTAAAAGACCAGATACATTTACACTTAGTGAGCTCTAGGCAAAATCAAGTATGTTTTACAGTTACTTACATAAGAAGAGAAAAAGCCAATTTCCACATTTTTATTGGTGAAATTCAAAGGATAACAATAATAGTCAGCCAAATTTGGTTTTTGGGATTCAGACCTACTAGTGAAAAGAACAGAATTTTATTCAAAGGATAACATTTTGCTTAACTGGGTTCCAAGGTTAGTGTTCCTAATCAACAAAATTATCGCTAATGTTCACAAGTAACAACCATTTTTAGCCCATGGGCCAAACAAAAACAGGTGGTGGGCCAGATATGGCCCACAGGCCATCATAGACTGACCTCTGGCATGGGTATTTCCCAGTATAGTATGGATTCAGTCAGTTCAACAAATTCTTTTTCTTTACAAGCCCTAAATTAAATAATCCCCAGGAGAATGCAAACCCTCTGAGGCAGGAAGCTTCATGTGTCCTACTCACTGATGTATATGTAGCAAGAACCTAACAGTGCCTGACACTCAGGAGGCCTTCAGGAAATACCTCTTTCGTGAAGCAATGAAAAAGACATTTTCTGCTATTTTATGTATAGATATTTGGCCTGGAAGGAACCTAACCAACTCTTAGAGTCAAGATTCTGGAAATCCAGAATGAACACCACCAAGGAACCCTATTCCCCCTACTTCTCATCCCATTTGTCCCTTTGTCCCACAGTCATTACTACTTGTGACTCAAGTAACAGTATGTTCAATGTCTGCAGAATATTTAACAGAAGGAAACCTCAAAATGGGGATGTTACTTATTTTTTTCTGAAAATTAGCAAATGATCATTTGGTTTTGGTGACATCATGTTGGTGATTCAATGAAAAATTAATTTAATTATTATTCTAAGACATTAAGCCACAAAATGCTATTTAACTCACAAATTTAGTTTTGACCTCATTAATAGAGTCTACAAGCATTCTACTCTAATTTTCCCACATCTTGCTATTCACATTTTATCACTGGAAAAAGAGGAGACCCACACCTGCCTCCAGAACAAATAGAATTTTTTAGAATCATAGGATTTTTCAAATATTTTTCTAATTTAGTCTTTTTATTTTAAATGTGATAAAATGGAGAGAGCAAGAATAGGTGATTTGTTTATGTGTCTCATGCAAATTAGTGGCAAAGCTATGGTCAGAACCAATTCTTGGTTCTGAGCTCTATATGGTCATGAAAGATGAGTTATAAAGAAAAAGTAAATTACATTCCAGTAGTTATCAAATTTATAGAATAGCAGCTCAGACAAGGATTTAGCATAACTTTTATTTGCATGATTAGTACAACCCATAGAAGACAATATACAATTATTTCAGCAAATACTAATACAATAATTTCACATTTAAGCCAGTAATATTGTCTGTTCTACATTCAATATGCCAATAGTCAGACATTAGTTTTGGTGAAATACTTCTTTGGGAGCAGAGTGCAGATGATAATTTCAAGAGAACAGGCTGGGCACAGTTTGGGAACCAACTTGATGACAGAGGCGATAAGGGTACCCAAATATTTGTTCCCTGTCCCATCTGTCTCCCAATGTGGCACATTGCAAATGAGAGGGATAAGACCAAGTTCACATACCCAGTGTTGCATTTTTTATGTAGTTATAACCACTGCTCTCCATACTGAGTACATAGCAGATTACTACTAACCTGATAAAATGATGACACATTGGAATGAATGCTGTTGTAATTGCATAATGTTGTAGAGTTTATAAGACCCTTTACATATATCTAACTGAACCTCATAACATCATAAAGTGGGCAGGTGCAGTAGACTGATTGCATAAATGGCCCAAATTCCTCGACTTGCCATGTATCCATGCTCCTGTGCCATGTGACTTTGCATGTTTTCTCACAAAGAGGTTGAGGCTATTTTATCACTTTACTTCTTCAGTCATACATACATCTTTCTTTGGCCAATAGCATGTTGGCATCTGTGAGTCATGCAGAATTCTGAAAAGGCACTTACACATTTTCATTTCCTCTCTTGCTCTTTGCCATGGACATGATAACACACTCCGGCTACCACACTGGAGCAAGAGTCAGCAAACTTTTCAAAAATATGTGTATATATACATATATGTATGTGTGTGTGTTTGTATATATACGTATTTTATGAGCTCATGAATTTAAAGATCTTTGATGTCTTACAATTTATTGCAATTACTATACTTTACAATACACAAATTATCCTTTGACATGGAAGTCTATTCATTTAGGTTCCTGAATTCTTTTGAGATGACCCTAGTAGACTTGAATAGCATCCTTATTTCCTGACAGGACAACATATATATTTCTATTTCCGGCATTTGGCTTCTGGTACTTGTAAGTGGCTATAGATAGAAAATATGGCTATCTTTTTTTGTTTGTTTTGGACAAAACACATCAAAGTTCAAACTAATACTTCCTATTCAAATTCAAGAGTACAGGGTTTTTACTTCACCTAACTGGTTTCATATCTCTCTTTTCTGCCAAGCTCCAAATCTGGGTTTTCAATGGCACAAATACAGTTCCTCACTTGCTTTATCCCACACCACCTACACAAGGGTCTCAAAATAATATTGACACTTCTACTGATTATATGATTACAGAAAGAGGTTTTCTTTTTTAAGTACGTTTGTCTCACTCAATGTACCGTCAAACTGTAATGCCCTAACTTAAAGTCACTTGGGATAGTTCCTCTGTGGGAGGTTATGCCATCAGCAGGATACACTTTAAGGTTTCTTTTTCCTTTTCCTTTCAATGTTTAGGAATTGCTCTTTGTGTTTAATTTTATTACACTATTATGCAAAATATTTGCACTTTCAAAATCACATCCTCAGAACAAGGTAAATAAGAAAAACAAAGAAGAGTCTCTCCCTCTTCCCTTTCCCCTCTGTTCCCTCCTGCCCTTATTGTTAACTATTTTTTTAACGTTTTGCTTTGTCACTTCTCTGATTTGTAAAATCTGAGAAAGTAAATGCACTCATGCACATCCATGCACACATTTTTTATCATGAAGATCATTTCATAGTAACAGAGGTTTTTTTTCATTCTTTTGTATGGCTGCATAATAATCCATGATGTGAATACATCATAGTCTATTCAACCTATTCTGTATGGGGGAATATTTGAATTAACTGCAGTATTTTGCCATTACAAATGGTGCTTCAATGAACAGCATTGTTCCTGAGTACTTTCATTTTTCTTTGAATGGTGTATCTTTTAGATCAATTCCTAAAAATGGGAACCTAATTCTTCTAGTTCATATTTTGAAATATATTTTAAAACTCTAACTCAGAATTCTAAACATAATCGCTATTGCTTTTGTTTTGAGGAAAGGGTTTGGGATGAGTTTTGAATTAGTGGCATTAAAATTTGTTTGTGTGGCTGAGCAATGAGAAATCATGATTTTCCTAGTGGAACAATATACTATTTCTCCATAAAATAGTAATAAATTTAAATCCATCAAAGAAACTAGGAGCGATTTTAAAAGCAATAACCGTGACTATATTATATGTATGCAATATAAAATCACCACCATGAGCATAAATGTCCCAGGAAAAAACAAAGATGTTGAATGAGACCTCATCAGCTGTTTCTGAGTTTTCCATTCAGTTTCATTTGGCCATAGCTTAGGCTGCTCTGTATTAGTGTAAACTACTTGGCATTGGGTATGAAGCGATTAAACATTAATGATTTTTAACCACCATTTCTGAGAAGTGAGTAATTTAATCATGTTACAGTGGGAGTGTCATGATTTCTATATATCTACTCCAAGCAGAAAGAGATTTTTTTTCCAGTCAAAAGGGCTTTAAAACTTCAAAGGCCATCATGGTGACATCAAGAGTATTGACCTCAGGGAGAAAATTCTGCTTGCAGGAAGAGCACATAGAAACTCAAAACACATTGGTCAGAAACTGTAGTGGTCAACTAACACTATCTCAACACCTTAACATTTGAGCATGTGTTTAAAAGATTACCAAATATTTGAGCATATGTCATACTATAGAGAACACAGTAATTTGTAACAAAAATAGATAATTTGGGTTAAATGATAGAGGACTAATGTTTAAACAAAGTTTTTCTCATCACTTTGATTAAATTCTGGCACCAGTTATTTAATGAAAAAGAGCTACAGAAATTTCTGTATTCATTTATGTCCTTTATATTCAATTCTATAGATCAGGAATTGACAAACATTTTCTGTAAAAGACCAGATACATTTACACTTAGTGAGCTCTAGGCAAAATCAAGTATGTTTTACAGTTACTTACATAAGAAGAGAAAAAGCCAATTTCCACATTTTTATTGGTGAAATTCAAAGGATAACAATAATAGTCAGCCAAATTTGGTTTTTGGGATTCAGACCTACTAGTGAAAAGAACAGAATTTTATTCAAAGGATAACATTTTGCTTAACTGGGTTCCAAGGTTAGTGTTCCTAATCAACAAAATTATCGCTAATGTTCACAAGTAACAACCATTTTTAGCCCATGGGCCAAACAAAAACAGGTGGTGGGCCAGATATGGCCCACAGGCCATCATAGACTGACCTCTGGCATGGGTATTTCCCAGTATAGTATGGATTCAGTCAGTTCAACAAATTCTTTTTCTTTACAAGCCCTAAATTAAATAATCCCCAGGAGAATGCAAACCCTCTGAGGCAGGAAGCTTCATGTGTCCTACTCACTGATGTATATGTAGCAAGAACCTAACAGTGCCTGACACTCAGGAGGCCTTCAGGAAATACCTCTTTCGTGAAGCAATGAAAAAGACATTTTCTGCTATTTTATGTATAGATATTTGGCCTGGAAGGAACCTAACCAACTCTTAGAGTCAAGATTCTGGAAATCCAGAATGAACACCACCAAGGAACCCTATTCCCCCTACTTCTCATCCCATTTGTCCCTTTGTCCCACAGTCATTACTACTTGTGACTCAAGTAACAGTATGTTCAATGTCTGCAGAATATTTAACAGAAGGAAACCTCAAAATGGGGATGTTACTTATTTTTTTCTGAAAATTAGCAAATGATCATTTGGTTTTGGTGACATCATGTTGGTGATTCAATGAAAAATTAATTTAATTATTATTCTAAGACATTAAGCCACAAAATGCTATTTAACTCACAAATTTAGTTTTGACCTCATTAATAGAGTCTACAAGCATTCTACTCTAATTTTCCCACATCTTGCTATTCACATTTTATCACTGGAAAAAGAGGAGACCCACACCTGCCTCCAGAACAAATAGAATTTTTTAGAATCATAGGATTTTTCAAATATTTTTCTAATTTAGTCTTTTTATTTTAAATGTGATAAAATGGAGAGAGCAAGAATAGGTGATTTGTTTATGTGTCTCATGCAAATTAGTGGCAAAGCTATGGTCAGAACCAATTCTTGGTTCTGAGCTCTATATGGTCATGAAAGATGAGTTATAAAGAAAAAGTAAATTACATTCCAGTAGTTATCAAATTTATAGAATAGCAGCTCAGACAAGGATTTAGCATAACTTTTATTTGCATGATTAGTACAACCCATAGAAGACAATATACAATTATTTCAGCAAATACTAATACAATAATTTCACATTTAAGCCAGTAATATTGTCTGTTCTACATTCAATATGCCAATAGTCAGACATTAGTTTTGGTGAAATACTTCTTTGGGAGCAGAGTGCAGATGATAATTTCAAGAGAACAGGCTGGGCACAGTTTGGGAACCAACTTGATGACAGAGGCGATAAGGGTACCCAAATATTTGTTCCCTGTCCCATCTGTCTCCCAATGTGGCACATTGCAAATGAGAGGGATAAGACCAAGTTCACATACCCAGTGTTGCATTTTTTATGTAGTTATAACCACTGCTCTCCATACTGAGTACATAGCAGATTACTACTAACCTGATAAAATGATGACACATTGGAATGAATGCTGTTGTAATTGCATAATGTTGTAGAGTTTATAAGACCCTTTACATATATCTAACTGAACCTCATAACATCATAAAGTGGGCAGGTGCAGTAGACTGATTGCATAAATGGCCCAAATTCCTCGACTTGCCATGTATCCATGCTCCTGTGCCATGTGACTTTGCATGTTTTCTCACAAAGAGGTTGAGGCTATTTTATCACTTTACTTCTTCAGTCATACATACATCTTTCTTTGGCCAATAGCATGTTGGCATCTGTGAGTCATGCAGAATTCTGAAAAGGCACTTACACATTTTCATTTCCTCTCTTGCTCTTTGCCATGGACATGATAACACACTCCGGCTACCACACTGGAGCAAGAGTCAGCAAACTTTTCTGTAAAAGAGCAGGTAGTAACTATTTTTGGTGTGTGGGCCACGTGGTCTCTAATGCAACTACTCAACTCCGAATTGTGACATGAGAATAGCCATAGAAAATACGAAAGTAAATGAGCACAATTGTGTTTCAGTAAAACAAACACTATTTATAAAACAGCCCATGGTCTGGATTTGGTCCATGAGCCATAGTTTGCAGAGCCTTGTCCTAGAGCATGAGATACAATGGGATAGAGTTGAGTTGCTCCAGTCATCTTGGTTGAGATCATTTGGAATCATCTAAGCTCCAGCCAATCCCCAAACACATGAGACAGCCAGACATTAGTCTGGCAGACACTTGAGCAAACCCAGCCAATATCAACTCAACCCTCCAGAACCCACTGCAACGCCACTGAGTCATCATGATTTACTACAAAGAATTATTGTGGTGAAAGATTATTCATACAACAGGTAAAGTACTAATTAAGCCATATTAGAATTAAAGATGGGGCTTGAGGAGGTTAAATATCTGAGGCAGATAGAGTGTCAGAGCCAAGCCTCAGGTAGAGTTTACAAATCCTGTGTTCTATGCACAATACAAAACTGCTTCAATTCTTTGCTTTTCTCTTTATTTTGGGTGGTTTTGTGTACACAGAGAAATACAGATATGTATAATTTAGGCTAAAAGACAAAGAATTTTACACAGCTGCTAACTTTCCACTGCTTCTCCTCTTAGCTTTTAGTTATTAAGAATCATGTCACTCTGGCTTAAAGTTTGCATTATTTTCTTTAAATTGCTAAGGCAGATCAGATCTCCTTGTGGTGTGTACTGTCCTGGTTCATATTTTTGAAAAATCCAGTAAAAGGAAATAACTTAAATGGCCTACTCTTGCACACAGCTCCTATCTCTCCATTTTACTGCTCCCATTTTATACAGAGCTGTCATGGCTTTCTGAATTACATGTGACTTAGGGCCTGCGCCTGCTGACGAAAGAGGCTCATAGGTCCTATAGCTCATCCACAATCTTGTACTTGAGCTGTCAAGTATGAAAGATTGGTGCCAAATTTCATCCAACACAGCCCTTTCCCAGTAGTCTGCCTTCGACAACTCCTCCTTGTCGAATCCACCAGTTTACATAGGATATATAGTGAATAAAGTACTCTGAAGGATACGAATGTAGAGGGGCTGCTTCCAGCAATAGCAGGAACACACGTCAGCTTCCCACAGGGCAGACATTTCAAGCTAGTAGGGGGGAGATGATCATAGGATGTCTATGCTGCTGTTTCTAAATAGACTGTAGAGACTCCCAAGGCAAATTGCCTCCCTTCTCACCAACCACCTCCAAGAAAAATCCGTGTGATGTAACTGTGCAACTCGAAAAAACCTTCTATTTTATGTCTCGGTATTTATAAAGTAGAAGCCTCAGGTGAATGGTTTATGAAACCCATTCAGGATCCCCTAGATGTGAGTCTCTATGCACAAAAGTTTAATGCTTTGGGCACCAGAAGCTCCAAGACCCTTCCTTTCACTGCCTGGAGAAACATCTGGCATTAGGATAACTGGATGTCAGAGTGGACGGTGGCTGTTAGGTGCCTGGGCATTCCTTGAGGTCCCCCAGTGACTAGGAGCCAGAGGTTGTGCAATTTCCTTTGCTAGTCCGTGTCGGAGCTGAATGCAGCATAGACAAGCCAAGTCTCTAGTTTCCAGGTTAATAAGACCCAGGGGTAGACTCTGTGTTCAATGTGGTGAAAGGAAGAATGTCAGGAGAGAGATTACACAGCAAAAGAAGATGAGAAAATGAGAAATACAAAGATAAGCACTGACTGTGCCTATCTGAGCACCCGGATTGCGGAGAGCAGGGCTCACGCCATCGCACTTCGTCTTGCTAGTCCCACTTCCAAGGCTGTTCCAAGTGGGGAGATGAATGTGAGGTGCTGTGGCCAATGGATTATGAGAATTTTTGATCCTATTCATGAGAGCATCTCTATCTTGAAAATATATCAGATTATTTTAGTCTTAAACTATTTAACATTTGACTCATCTAGCACTCTGGCAGTGCTCCCTCAGAGAAAATCAGCAGAGGTTTTCTGATTACCACTTAGCTTCCAAGGCAGTTTGACCATAAGGGCAGAATGGACACATTCCAGACCACCAGACCATGGCACAGTTACAAGACTGATGTTGATGAATTCCCTGCCATTCTGGTTTACACTCCAAGTCTCATTTGTATTTGGTTTCTTATGAGCCTACCTCTGAGGCCCTAATCACACCCACACCCTAAGAGAGTAAGTCTCTCGGCCTTCAGAACAAAGGTACTCATCCATTTGGATTTGATTAGGTAAGGCTTCTCAACCTTTCACAAACCAGAGGCCTTTGACATACATGAAATTCTCATGTCCCACCACCATCCTTCAACATGCCAAGCCAAATAAGTATGCCTCCACCTTTAGACAGATGTCATATTACTTCATGTAATATGTGAAAAATAATAGGGCTCATGTCCCAATATAGATTCAACATATAATCCTCTCCCGGTAGGGATTTTGAGAAAACCTGCTCCACCCTCCAGCCCCATCTGAGAGTCACTGTACTCTTCACCCACCAAAACCCCCATCACTGTCCAAGATGATGCCTTTGTAAGAATTACAAATAAATGTCTTCTGATTTCTGCAGAAAAAACTTGACTTACTTATGATAGAGTTGGTTTAAGGTAGGTGAGGAGAGAACAAAGCATGAGTGAAGGGAGACGGTGAGTTGGAAGAAGTCACATGGTACCTAACCACTAAGTATCCATAATGGGTAGTACTGTGATGGTGCTGGTACTGACTGTGTGTGTGTTTATATGTATGTCTATGTACGTGAATGGGAATACCTATAGAAAAATAAAACACAATCCTGACTTTCAAAGAGCTCTAACTGAGGGACAGAACATGAACGTAGCCATCAGACCTTCCCTAGGTGACAGTGTGAATGGACACCACTGTACCGCTCACAGGTGAGTCGCTAACCACACACACAAGATCCGGCCAGTGGATCTGTGGTCAGCTGGGGTTCCTTGGTGCAGGAGAAAGTAGAAAAGCGAATATTTTTCCCCTTTATCCACCCTCTTCTATTAAAACAGTTTCACTAATAAATCTCTCAACATCAGCAGCTTTTCCTGTGTGTGAAAATATAGTTCAATGCCACTTAAAATCATCTTTCCAGCTGTTGTTCAAACTTGGAAATTGAAATAGGTAATCTCTAAACTTCTCCATTTTTCTTTAAGTGTGTTCTACACATCTACATAGTTGTTATTCTCTGAGAATATAAAATTTAATATCTTTTTTATCCTGACAATTGTCTAGTGATAGGTATCAAATATTAGTAGCTGAATGGGTAGTCATTACAATAACCACAGCCCACTCTGCTGTTCTCTGAGAAACATATCCAGGGAGGCAGACAGTAATGATGGCTAACCAAATAGCTCACACGAAGCTAGGAAAAACTCAACTGAGTCTTCAGGATTGAGAGATGACTCAAATAATTCACACATGGAGAATACTTTGTTGTTTAGAAAGTACCTTTTTCATAAGCTTCACATATGTAGATGCTTTAACCTTCAAAACAATATCACAAAATGTGTGAGGAAACTACAGATCAAACAGGGTAAATAGGTTGCCCAAATCTGGACAGGAGGAAGTGCAGGAAGTGTGTGTGCGTGTGTGTGTGTGTGCGCGCATGTGCAGGCAGATCCAATCCTTGAATTTCATGGTCTTTTCCATTACACCACAAAGCTTTCCCAAATTCAAGACCCATGATATGCAAAGCTGCTTTTAACATTAGGAAAAGATGCAAAGAGAAGCATATACAGAATTCTCCATTGTCAATGTCAAGTAGGTTTTGTTTATGGATTTAAGTGTTGCTTGGAATATGAAACCTAAAATACTACTTAATGAGTTTTCCCATGTGTGGTAAATCTAAATAAACAATCTGAGAGCCGCTAAAAGCACTATTTAAGAAATATGTATTTAAAATTAAAACTAATAAAGAAGTAGAAAGAAAAATTAATAATATAAATTGGATGGTAAGTACAAGAAAAATATTTTTTAAAAATCCATCCTTTATTGTAAAGGTTTAAGTCCATAATTCCATTTAAGACAAAAACAAATCTAATTTGTGTGGATTTATACAAATGTTTATGTGTTTGTATACTTATATATATTTTATGAATTTTTATGTTTATATATTTGTATTTTTATGTAGAAACGAAGCTCAGTATCACTGGACGTTAAAGCCATTGGGTAAAAGTTTATAGGAGAAAAGGATTTACACAGTCTCTATTTATCACCCACATATGATTACAAAGATAAAAAGAAAGTTTTACAATGTACAACTCTGGTTGATACTATCTACTAAATTAATCAAATTTAACATCACCAATAATGGGATAAAGTGACATCATCTGCCCTTTGATACGTTGTCATGGGACAAACACATAACCAACAAAGTTTAATCTGAATCTAAGAATGAGAGAACCATATACAAACCAAAACCACACAAAGGGCCATTTTTAAAACCACCAGCCTATACTGAAAAAATGCCAATGTCATAAAGGATAAAAAAAAAGCAAAAAAGAAAATGAATGAACTCTTCCATTTTATTGAAAAGATAACAATAGCTTCTGAGGTCCTTGTTTGACTCCTGGATTTAAAATAAAGCAATTTTAAAGGATAATAAATTATTAGGAAAATTGGGGAGATTTAAATATAAACTATAAATAGTAAATACTGTTATTGTACTAATATTGAATCTCGAGTGTGATAATGGTATTGTGGTTATTTGGAGATTGTCTTGTTCATAGGAGATGCATGTTCAAGTATTTTGGAGTGAAGTATAATAAAAGTTTGTTATAATACTTCTCCACTTTTACATAGGATTTCAGCTTTTGAAAATACAAGTTGGAAAATAAAAACAAATGAAATTATTCTTTAAATCCTTTATTTCATATCCTCACTTCAGTAATACTGAAATATAAGTTTATCATACATGCCTCCACTCTTTTTCTAGATTTAGAACATGAAATGTTCGATGAATGTTACACATTATAACCCAAGTTTACAACAAGGTACTGTAAGAATAAGACAAGAATTGTGTTAAATTTCTAGGACAAATTTAAAACAAAAATAAAGAATAGTGGTGATGTTAACATCCAGACTAGATTTTCCCCATTGTACTGTCTATGCTCCCCTCCCACTTAAAAAAATCTAAAAAAGTATTCATAGTAAATTGGAAGTATAGAATTCTTAGAAAATAACTGGGTGGTGCGTTGTATAATTCTTCTCACAGGTACAATTTGCTCTTGAGCAACCTGTAAGCCATTGAAAGAGTAACTCCATATCCAATGTAAAAAGCCAAAGCACGGTTTGGCTGGGGTAGGGGAATCAAATACGCAATGGTGTGGTAAATCCGTGCGCCAAGAAAGAGTCTGAAATGCAGGAGGGCTGTGGAAAGATCTGGGCCACTCAAGGAATACAGAAGGCCAATACCAAGGAACGGCACAATATTCTCAAGGTCATTCAGGTGGGCTCTGTGGAAAAAGATGACTAGTAAAACATGGATTTCAAAATCAGCACAAACGTATTTATTTTTCCCTCTCTTCTGAAACCAAATATAAGCATTAATGGATCTTAAAAATGCAAAGTAAGATTCACTGCATTTCTCTCAAATCTCAAAAATCCTTACATATCTCAGTATTTTGGTTTCTTTTTATTTTTAGTGTATCTCAACATATAACAGAGATATTTTGCACTTTCAAGAATACCAAGCTGCATCCATATAATAAAACCAACTTCATTTTTGTAGATATGAGATATTTTTTTCTTCGGAGGCTCACAGTATAGCACTTTAAGATGCTTCTTATTAAAAACTCTTCTTCCCAAAGAAAGAAAATCCTTTTGGTTATGATCTTATTATCTTTTCTATGATGCCTCCCTCACTTCCAGTCTAAAAAATGGTTACTGAGACAATCCTTGCCCATTCCTCCAAACCATTAGGTTACCAAGAATTAATTTACCAACTTAATCTAAAGAATCTCATGCTCTCCATATCCAAATAACAGAATATATTACTAGACTTTCACATATAGGTAAAACTTTATCCTAAGCCTATCCTCAAATTAAAAAAGGAATTAGCTAAGTGAGGGAACAAAGTATACACAAAAATGATAGACAACAGAGAGAAAGATACATTTCCTATATTTCCTCTTTATTTAACAGCTAGAAGAAAACAAAAAGCATGGTTTGGCCACATGTTTTCCACCAGTTCACAGCTGCTTGAATTTCTCTGGCTGAGACTGTGAATACAAGGCACATCTATTATTGACCTGCTATTTTCTCAAAGTGCTTTATTTTAAAATCTGATGTTCCTGCTTAAGTCTCCACAATTAAAAATTGCTTTAGAATCTAGACTCAAAATCGGGGTTCTCATAAAGTTCAAAAGCTATTGAATACATATTTCAAAATGAAAAATATTTGCTTTATGTTACTGTTATTTGCTAAAAGAGTAACTTTTACTCTTTGCTTTTAGCAAAAAATATAATTGTTCTGTGCTGCCTGCTCTATGATCACCCTTAACCTGCCCTCCTTTCCTTTCTTGTGTTTTCTGTAGATTATCTCTTAAGATTTCCTGACAAAAGACAACATGAAGAAATGGAGAAGGTGACAGTCACCTAGATGAGTAACAGTTTTGCAAGATTTAAGTAAAGAACTGCCTCGTCCTGAATAAAAGCAGACAGAAAGGCGTGAGCGTTCCCATCCCATTTCTTTTGTGGAATAACCCAAAGGCTACTGAGTGTAAGGTGGGTAAGAAAGGGCAGGAATATTAGTTTCTACCAAAGAAAGACCAGCTTCATCAATCACATCAAGAGTATTTATTCTGAATTCTCCTGCTGGACCACAGATACAGCTTCATCTCCTGTCCTGGCACATTAGTTTTCTCCTACACAACATTCTAAAAGGACAGATGTTTTAAAATTGGGGAGCAGTCTTTAAACGGGAGACCCTGTGGAAAGCAATGCCCACTAAGCCTATCTTAAGTGATGGGCAAATTGAACGCATTTCTAAAACAGGGAAGAAAGGCACGGAGATTAAGAGGTGACAGGCTTCAGTGAGGGTAGGTAGGTCAGGGGCAGAGCATCCTCTGAAGTTACTGGGACCTCCATTTTTTCTGGCTTCTCCCTCTCTGTCTTATTTCTCTTCTTCAATTCACTATCCCAGTCCTCAAAATATTCTCATAGAAATCACTCCTCACTGTCCTAAGAAAGGCCTGTTTTCAACATACCCACATACTCGCTGCTAATTTATGCCACGTTAGATGCTTCCTGTCCCTTTTTGGCCCTGACCTAGGCAGGTACTCGCCCAGCTCTCCCCATAAGCACCTGCTATACTTCAGTATCGCCCTTTCCTAAAGCCTTTCTCTGTTCAAACAACAGACCTCATCCTAGAGGGGAAGCTGCTTCCTTCATTCCTGTCACTTCCAGGCGGCTACCAAAATCTATTACCAGGTGGCTTTCAGTCTTCGTGTGTGACCGTTTTCTACTCAGGTCTCCTCCCCACCCCACTCTGATTTGTGTCCCGATTCTCCTTCCTCCTTTGGACAGATGCTCCCTGGTCAGCTGGTTCCGGGGCCGGCCCTCCCGGGATGTAAAGCTCATCCTGCTTCAATCAATCACAGCTCCCTCCCCCTGATCAGAACCACTTGGATCTCAGCAGGAACCTGGCCTGTATCAGAGTCGCTACGAATCTTGGGAATTGCCAAGGGGGTGGCAAACTACAAGAGGAGCTTCACACAGACTTTCCCTGACCCCCTTTTCGCGGCCAAAGCTCTCACACTCAACATACAGCAGGATGCCCGAGTTCCCACAGAGACACTGTCCCACAGTGACATGATCTGTCCTCTCCTCATCCTCCTTCCAAATCCTAACATCCTGCAAGTTCTTCCTTCATGAAATATTCTTAAATACTCCAGGAATATATACCTCAGACATGTCACAATTTAACATCTAACAGAAGAATTCTTTCATTCCCTAATTATTACAAACATGTTGGTCTTATTTTCAGGGGCAAGGTTATAAACTCCTGAAGGTCAGGAACCCAGCTTTACTTACAGATCTTTTACAGCATCCCAACAGAAAAAGTGACAGTGATACACACACACAATGGTCCCTCAGTAAATGCTTGTTCGTGCACTGGGACCAGAAGAGAAGTAATCTAGCTCAATGCCCAGCCCATGCTTCAGTCCCTGGACAGAATCCCCCAGAGAGTGTCCCTAGAGTCCAGTGGACAGCCTCAGTGAAGGGCATTCTCTCCCTCTGAAGACAGTATATTCGAAATGTCCCTCCTTTCCCTAAATACAAAACCCAAGCTTTCCTTCTTTTTCTTTTGAGTGGTTGTCTTTATTCCCCAGCTGCCTTGATTACCTTCAACTTTCTTTTTATCTTGTTGTATTGAAGGTTGTATATGGTTCTGAGTTCTTTCTAAAACTTAAGATGAGATAGGATCAAATTAAATAATATGTAAAATGTTTGTTAATCATCACTGATTTCTGTCTTTCCAGAACACAAATAACTTACTTGAGGCTGCTTATCTTGACCTTTGGACATAAATTCTTTTATGAAAAAGTCAAGGTTAAAAATGGAAAGGGCTGTTCTGGAAGCTCTTTCTCTGTAAACTATCTCCAAAAGTGAGTTGCTATTGGGAAAATTTTTATGGGACCTATAAAAGTCTCAAAAAATACAACCGGAAGCTGGACACCTTGTGTCTGATCGCCAGGGGGAGCTGTGCACACAGTCACGGCACTTTCCAAGGACACTGACTCCTTTCAGAGCTAAGGTCAAATGTTCTTACTGAAGTGTATTTGTTGATCATGGCCTGACTAGAAGATCAGCTTAGATAATGGCTTTCTCCCCTAGAAATACAACCCTATGGGATTGGGAGTTAGGGGTGGGAAGATGAGAAGGGTGGAAGAAAAGGGCAGGAAAGGAGAGTGGGGAGTAATCTACAAAAATCTCGGAATAAAATATCTTCCGTGAAGCCTTTACACATGAGACTTAAATCTTCCTTTCAACCTTGCTAATGCCGCTGAGGGTCTAACTATTATTACTTTCAAGTCCTGGGTAATGGTAAGGGTATAGGCTCACGATTAGCATCGTGTATGTGATTAACTGCTCTACAGGGGATGCAGAGAAAGGTAAAGACAAAGTTTTAAAAGCTTTTATAATGTCTCTAATGGTTTTGGTGATTCCACAAAGCTTTTCTCACTTTTCTAATTTGTATTCTTTTTTTACCAAAATACTCATTTTAGTCTAATACTGCTTGAAATTTCCATCTTGATTCTTTGCTCAGACACTATTTTAGATCCGTATTCTTGACATAATTCATTTTTAAGACTTCATATAATAAAGTGAAGCACAAGTTAAAATTAGATTCTATCTAATAAGACTTCCTTTTAGAGTTGTTTGTTAATAACCTGGGGTTAAACATTTTTTGCAAAAGCAAAAAATCTGGATTTAATTTCAGTACTGGAAAAGCAGCAGAGTACATGGGGGAGAGGTGTAATGCTGGGTATTATTTAGGTGAAGACGGCACAGGACAACTTCCCCAGGGAGAGGATGCTGAAGAACACTGTCCAAGTACTGACCAGTATTCAACTTGAAATGTGCCTGCACCTCCATTTAGTTGTCTATTTTTATCTACTTGTTTTCAGTTGATTTGTTGAGAGAGTTAAGGAAAGGGCCAAGTTTTCATCCACCTAACAAAATGCAGAATATGGAAACATGCACAAGTGTAGGAACCCAGATAGAGAGTTAATCTTGAGACTGTGTAACATAAGAAAATCTACAGAAATCTTGAGAGGGGGCTTCAGACCTTCACAGGGAATCAAAAAAAATGATAATGCAAATATAATCTAGATCCTAAAGAGATTAGAGACTCCAGCTGATATGTGAATTAGAGAAGTAAAATTATTTTCTTTGTCTTCATTTTACTATCTATTCATACCTATCAAATTGAAGAAGTCTAGTCAAATATATTCATGATGTTTCCTAGCTTAAGTCACCAAACTAAATATCTGCATGTTTAGGTATGGCTATGAAAACTCTTTGCTGGTTCTTTCATTATATATACTTTGACTTATTCTTTGAAATGTGCCTAGATTTGTACCACAGTTTGGATGAGCATTAGAAAATACTAGATGAGAAGATGGTATATAATTTTGATGCTTCACATGTTAGATAAAGGTAACTAATGAAATGTTAATGGAATCTCAATATGAAAAATTTTGCAAGGGAAGTATGTCAAACCAAGATAGTGACATAGGAGGGCCCTGAACTCCCCTCCTCTCAAAGATACACCAAACACACAATACACACAGAGAAATTACCTCTGAAAGAAATCCAGAAACTAGCTGAGCAACTCCTATCCATTGAGCAAATGAGAAAATGCCCACATTTAAATAGGTAGGCAAGACTGAGACACAATCTTGCCATAAATCCCATTCCCAGCACAGTGCCATATACTCAGGAGGGTGCACCCAACTTCGAGCTTTTCCCTGAGGAGCAAAGGGTTTGGACCCTACATTTAGCACCCCTACATCTAAGACTCGCACTCAAGGGATAGACCTCCAAACTATGTGGCTGTGAAAGTTAACTAAGATAGCATCCCCAAGACCCACAAGACTGTAGCAAACAGAAGAGGAGTTGTGAGTGGATGCAACAGAGGCTCGCTGTGGCTACCTCCCCAGGGTTCAGCATAGAGGGAGCAGACAAAACTGCCTATCTTCCAGTCTTTTCCTGAAAGGCATGCATTTGCACACTTTGAAAGCTGCAACCTGAGCGTCAGACTTCTACCTTAGCACACATCTAGGAACTGGCTGAGAAGCTCGGAGATTTGTGAAACTGGCACACAACTTCCCTACTATGTCCCTGTCGCCCATTCCAAGTTGGCTCTATCTCCCTGAAAGGAGCTTGTATGTATACACATTTGAGTCCCAACTTTTCACTGCCACCCCAGGGATGAGTCCATGGATCACATGGTTATGATATCAAACAGTGCTACCAAGTGCCGTAGGAATACAGCCAAGAAGCAGTTCTCAAGTGCAAGCCCTCACTGCAGCCAACCCCAGTGGACAGGGAGCAGGCAAAAGCATCCATCTTCCAGTCTTTCTCTAAAAGGAGCCCTTCTGCTTCCTTGAAAAGCTACTACCTGAGGGTCACACTTCTAGTTCAGAATGCATCTAGGGGTTGGCTGTGATATCAGAGATTAGGGAATCTGGCAGACATCGTACTCACCTACTTGTTCTAACTCACACCCAGTTGCCAGTATATCCCTGCAGTAAGCTTTTAAACACCTCTGGTGCCCCAACTTTTGCAACTTGCTACCCAAGACACGGGTTCCCATATTGTCTGGCTCTGACAGTCACTGGGGTTCACATTCACAAGTCCCACAGGACAGTAGCAAAAAAAGAAGAGGTTCTTACTGTCACAGGAAAACTCCACTCCCTGCAACTATATACCCGGGCCCAGTACAGAGGGGGCAGGCAAAGCACCCAAATCCCAGTACCTCCTTAGAAAGAGATTGCATCAGCAATCAGAAACGAAGAACTCCAAGACCAGACTGCTCCACTGGGGAATTCTACCAAATATTTAGGAAGAATTAATGCCAATCTTTTTTAAACTCTTCCAAAAAATAGAAAAGGGGGGATCCCTTCCAAATTCATTTTGTAAAAGTCAACATTACCCTGATACCAAAGTCAGACTAGGACACTAAAAGAAAAGAAAATTACAGGCTTATATCCCTGGTGAACACAGATGCAAAAATACTGACAAAATATTAGCAAACTAAATTCAAAAGTTTAATGAAAGGATTAAAAGGATAATACACCATTATCAAATGAGATTTATTCTACGGATTCAAGGGTGGTTCGACATCTGCAAATCAATGTGATACAGCACATTTATAAAATGAAAGATTAAAATTTTATGATCACATCAAAAGATGTAGAAAAAGCATTTAACAAAATTCAAAATCCTCTCATGATAAAAACTCTCAACAAATGGGATATAGAAGGAACATACATCAACATAATAAGGGCCATATATGGAACAAAGAAATGGGAGCGGTTTTTTTGTGTGTTTTTTTTTTTTTTGGCGAGTGCTTTTTGGAAGCCTTAAAGGGACAGGGACCCCAATACTAGGGAAGCAGGGCAGCCAATAGCCAACATCACACTCAACAGTAAAAAGCTAAAAGTTTTTCATCTAAGATCAGGAACAATACAAGGATACCCACTCTCACCATTTTTATTCAACACTGTACTGGAAGTTCCAGCCACAGGATTAATCAAGAAAAATAAATAAAAGTCATCCAAATTGGGAAAGATGAATTAGTCTCTATTTGCAGATGTCATATTATGTCAGAAACCCTAATTCTACCAAAAAATTTTTACAATGAATTCAAAGTAGTTTCAAAATACAAAATCAATCTACAAAAGTCAATTGCATTTTTACACACTAATAATAAACTATTAGAGAAATTAAAAAACAATTCCATTTACAATGGCATCAAAAAGAAGACATTTAAGAATAAATCAATCAAGGAAGAAAAAGATCTATACACTGAAAACTGTAAGACACTGATGAAAGAAACACAAATAAATGGAAAGATATTCTGCACTTAAAGATTAGAAGAACTAATATTGTTAAAATAGCCATACTACCCAAAGCAATCTACAGGATCAATATACTCCCTCTTAAAACCTCAATAACAGCTTTTTTTTAAGAAATAGAAAAGACAATACTAAAACTTATATCAAATCACAAAAGACCCTGAATATCCAAAGCAATCTTGAGAAATAAGAACAAAGCGGGAGGTAACACACTTCCTGATTTCAAATTATAAAGCAGATACATAGATCAATGGGAAAGAATAGAAAACCCAGAAATAAACCCATACTTTTACAGTCAATTAATTTTTGACAAAACAGCTAAGAATATACAATGGGGAAGTACAGTTTCTGGGAAAACTGGGTTTCCATATGCAAAAAAAGGAAACTGGACCCTATCACAAAAAAATCAACTTAAAATTGATTAAAGACTTGAATGTAAGACCTAAAACCATAAAATTCCTAGAAGACAAGTTAGAAGGTAAGCTCCTTGACATTAGTCTTGGCAATGAGTTTTCAGATTTGATAATAAAAGCAAAGACAACAAAAGCCAAATTAAACAAGTGGGACTACAGCAAACCAGAAAGCTAGTTGGCAAAGAAACCATCAACAAAATGGAAAGGCAACCTACAAAATGGTAGAAAATATTTGCAAACCATTTATCTGATAATGGGTTAATAGCCAAAATATACAAGGAATACATACAACTCCATAGCATAATAATAATAATAATAATAATAATAATAATAAATTAAATGGTTATCCCAAAGAGACGTCTGTACTTCCATGTTCACTGTGGCATTATTCACAATAGCAAAGTTATGGAAACAACTTAAGTGTCGACCAATGAATGGATGAATAGACTTAAAGTAAAACACACACACACACACACACACACACACACACACTGGAACATTATGCAGCCTTAAAAAAAGAGGAAATCCTGCCATTTGCTACCCACGGATGAAACTGAGGACATTATGCTAAGTACAATAAGCCAGACAGAGAAGGGCAAATATTGTATGGTATCACTTATGTGTGGAATCTAAAAAAAGAAAAAAAAGATCAAACTTACAGAAACAGGTGCCATAGAAAAGTAGGTGCCAGGGGTCGGGGGGCAGGGAAAATAAGGAAAGGCTGGCAAAAAGGTATAAACTGTCAGTTATAAGGTAAATAAGGTCTGGAAATCTAAAGCATAATATGGTGATTATAATTGATAATGATTTATTGTATCACTTGAAATCTGCTAAGAAGAGTAGAAAAATGTTCTCACCAAAAATGAGGGAAGGGTAAATATGTGAGGTAATAGATGTGTTAATTAACTCGATGGTGGAATCTTTTCACAATATACAAGTGTTATCAGTCATGATGGTATATACTTTCAATGTCTTATAATTGTATTCGTCAATAATACTTCAGTATAGGTGAAAAAAAGTTTGCAATTTCTGTGACTTTCTGACAAGGATTAACAAATATGATTCCAGAACTAGAATTCAGTGTGCTTTCAAAATAAGTATATTAATTCTATTATTAGAAAACTGTGCAGATGGTATCTTCGTTCTATTGTTTTTCATTGCTCATTGAATTCTCAGTACATTAAACATAATATCTACAAAAGACAGAGAAAGAAGGAAGAGGGATTTCCCACATTCACATTTTGAATCTTATGCAAAAATACCTAGTTCCTCAACTGCAAGAATCTACCATCCTTATTTTACCTGCCATTACTTTTGGTATATCCCTATACAGAATAAAGACATATCCCTATACATCAACCCCAACAAAATACATATAAAAAATATAGCAAAATTGGCACTATGTATGATTGCAGTAATGTTTGGAGTTTTCTAGATCCCTAATTCTCTATAATTATGTGGATTAGGTGAGATAACTGACTTTTCTTCTTCGAGACAACAGTATCCTAAACTGAACTTTTGACCAAAGTTCTTTGATCAAGCAAATAATTTCAGGAGACAGTGGTTTTGTCTACCTTCGTGCACGTTCCACTCTGTTGTCTGTCCAAAGGTACTTCTTGACCTCTTCTCCTTTGCCAAAGACTGCACAGTCTTCTGGGTTAACAAAAGCCTGTTCCAAATACCAAGAAACAAACTTACTTCAAATACCAAATAAAATGGCTTCTATGAGCTATAAATTAATTTTCTAAGTATGTTAGAGAATAGGCACAGAGCATGAAAGACTGAGGGGCAGATATGTATTTTGTATGTTGTTAATATATGTTAACATGCTTTTTCTCAATTAGTTAAAACTTGGGGTTGAATAATACAGTGAAATATAAGAAGTTGAATTGTATTACTATAAATACCAAATACGCATTCTAGGACACAAGTTCACGTTTTCCTTCCTGCAGTTACTATGCTGTTTGAAATGATTTCCCCATCCCTTGAAGCTTCAAATATGCATTTAAAAATATTTAAGTATATTCCACTGTTTAATCATTTATAATAAAGAAAAAACATGAACTGCAAAATTAGCCTTAATTTAAGCTTAGAAATCTCATAACTATTACAATATTTTTTTCTTACTGGGACAGGAGCACTTATTTCAGATAAAGATGTCAAAGAGAGGGTGGAGCCAGGATGGCAGCATGAGTAGAGCAGTGGAAATCTCCTCCCAAAACCACATATATCTATGAAAATATAACAAAGACAACCCTTCCTAAAATAGAGACCAGAGGACACAGGACAACATCCAGACCACATCCACATCTGCGACAACCCAGCGCCTCGTAAAGGGGTTAAGATACAAGCCCCAGCCCTGCGGGACTCGAGCACCCTCCCCCCCGCCCCTGGCGGGTGGAGAGGAGTCAACAGGGAGGGAAAGAGAGCCCAGGACTGCTGAACACCCAGCCCCAGGATTCCAGACCAGAGCACAGACACAGTGCATGCGTGGGGTCCTGAATACTAGGGAAACAGGGAGGCAGGACCGGTGAGCAGGTGCCTGAGGCTGACGCTGGAGAACAAAGAAATGGGAGCGGTTTCTTTGCGTGTTTTTTTTTTGGCAAGTGCTTTTTGGAAGCCTTCAAGGGACAGGGACCCCAATACTAGGGAAACAGGGCAGCAAGACTGGTGAGCGGGTACCTGAGACCGACACCTGAGGACAAAGAAAATCGCGCGTTTTTCCCTTTTTTTGATGAGTGCTTTTTGGAAGCCTTAAAGGGACAGGGATCCCAATACTAGGGAAACAGGGCAGCAAGACCGGTGAATGGGTGCCTGAGACCGGCGCCTGAGGACAAAGAAAATCGCACGTTTTTCTTTTTTTTTTTTCTCTTTTGTTGTTGCTGTTGTTGTTTTGGTTTGGAGACTGCTTTTTGGAAGTCTTAAAGGGGCAGGACAGGACACTTAGCCCAGAGGCAGGGAATCTGGGGATCTCTGGGCACTCTAACCCCCTGGGCAACAGGGAGCACAGAGGCCCCTTAC